TAGAGTGCCCTGGCATCAGCCTAGCTCACAGTAACCTCAGACTCCTGGGTTCAAGTCATCCTCCTGCCTCAGCCTCCCAAGTAGCTGGGACTACAGATGCCCACCACAACGCCCAGCTAATTTTTTTTATTTTTAGTAGAGACAGGGTCTCAGTCTTTCTCAGGCTCGTCTGAAACTCCTGAGCTCAAGTGATCTTTCTGCCTCAGCTTCCAAAGTGTTAGGATTACATTGTGTGAGCCACTGTGCCACAAGCACCTTTTTCTAATCTGAACAAAGTCACTGCATAGTCTAGCAGCCTTACTGCATGCAAATAGCCAGACTCTGGTCCATCTTTAAACTTGATCTCCCAGAGAGGCAGAGAGTGGAAAAGGAAATGAGGAAACCCAGCCCAGCTTGCCCCTTTGGGGAGGCTTTATGGCTCTGGAACATCTCACCTGAAGCCTGGAGTTTTGCTGTTGGGAATCTGCAGACAGTGTGCTTTTTCTCAGGGTCATGGGTCTGAGGGTATCAAGAAGAAGGGAGGACAGAGGAAAAAAAGCAGACTCCACCTCTTCTTTCTGCTATAGATCTGGACCTCTAAATTGATTCAATAGTACAGCATGGTAACTGTGGTAAATGATGATCTAGTGTATATTTCAAAACAGATAGAAGAGAATAATTTGAATGTTCCCAGCATAAAGAAAAGATTAATGTCTAAAGTGATGGACATAATGACAGATACCCCATTTGCCGTGATTTGATCTTTACACATTACAGTAGAACCACCACAGTTGACCACCTCCCTACACTGACCACCTCCTCAAGTTCACCTAATTTTCATAGACCAGACCTGCGCCCCATGTATAGTACAGTACAGTAGACCTAGTTCCTTGTGTTGCCCATCTCTGTATGTTGACCATCTATGTATGTTACGGTCCCTTGAGAGGTCAGCTCACAGAGGATCTACTGTAAATAGATGAATCGAAATATCACATGTGCTCCCAAAATCTGTACATCTACTATGTATCAACAAAACTTAAAACTTGATTTTAGAGGTTCTCTCAAGCTCACACACACATCCCTGAACTGGTCTTGAGACCTCAACCTTTAGCCAAGACTCCACCTAGTTTTCTAGGTAAACTATTCTCGGTATGATAGAGGCCAGTTACTTTCCAAAATAACATTCAGTTCCCAAAGCTGTCAGTCACTCTGCTGGACCCAGCCAGGGCCTGATCATACAGCCTTCTCTACCAGCAAATAAGTTAGGATGGACACACAGAGGCTTTCAGGGGAGCATGGAGCAGCTTTATTCATTAGACCAGATTTACTAGGTACCTAGTAAAGGTGCTGGTGGGTGCTGGGCTGTGGCATTGACCCAGCCATGACCCTGTCCTCAATAAGATCCCCACACAGACCAGAGAAAGAGGCAATACAATAAGCAACTACAATTCTGATGCTCATTTTTGAATGAGAAAATAAATAAAAGATCAAACGAATGAATGAAGTACAGAGTATTGTGCTATCTTGATCTGGAGGATCAGAGAAGGTTTTCTAGAGGAGTGGATATGTGTAGGAAATGAGGAGGATGAATAAGTTTAGCCATGCAAAGTGTGGAAGAGGAAGCGTGTTCAGGGCAGAGGCAATGGCATGTGCAAATGGCCTGGGGTTAGAAGAATAAGATGGGATGCCAGAACCAAGAAAACTCAAACTGGTCAGCTTAGGTTGTGGGGGGCAGGGTGGGATGGTGTGGAAGACAGTGGAAGAGATGCTATTTGTAAAGTATAAAGAGCTGAGTTGTAATCCATGTCAAAGAGTTTAGATTCATCCAGGAAAAAACCTGGGACTTTTAAACATGCAGGAGGGATTGATATTTTCAGGCACCAAGGTTAACCCAACGAGAACATTTCAGCAGTGCCTTTATCTCATTTTTCTGGCGTTGATGGAAAAGCATGATGCCTTGTAGATTGCTTCAGTTCTAACCGTACAAATTAACATGTGGATAGATCACAGCCGGGGAGAGACACTCTGAAAGTATCCCCATGAGCAAGTAAGGTTGAGAAGTGAACAAAACAAGGTACCCTTCTTTATCCACTAGCCCTGGGGGCCTCACGGTTGAGAAATCCTTGCCCATAGGGACCCATGATACACTAGAAAAAATGCTTTAGAAATTAGTAGTCAAGACTGGAACAAGTACCTGGGATAGAAAGGCCCTGCCTGGATGCCCTCAGCCAGCAAGTCACAAGTACTTGGGAACAAGTACCTGCCTGGAGGCCCCCAGGTAGCAAGCCACTCAATGATGGGAATTACTGTGGCCACAAGCCCCTGCCCTAGAGTTATTTTCCAGACTAGTTTCCTCCAAAGTGAGCTTGCCTGACTCACTTGTAATACACTGGCGAACAAGGATTCCATGTGCCAAGCCTCAGCCTGAGAGCTCAGGTTCCAGGCTCTGGCTGCCTGGCACGATGTTTTCTTATTCCTGACACAGATGGTGGAAATTCGCGTGTTGCCTTTGAACTCCGGAGGTGAGAAAGACATGGCATCCAAACTGCAAAGGGGAAGACAAATAGGAGGATGAGAATGGGAACAGGGCCTTTGCATTATTCTGAAAGAAGTCTCACTCTAGAAAACTCCACCTGGGCAAACTTATGTTGAGCTCCCATCTCCTAAAGCAGAGCTAGCCAGATTGCCAAGCGGGTAGAGTGGCAGCTGTGCTGGACAGCACTTGGTCTGGACCGTCACCTTGCCTGTGTGCAAGGCCAAAAAGGATACCCTGGGAGTATCCAAAAAGGAAGTCCTGTCTCCCCAGCCCTGGGAGCTGGCATCTCAGCTCCTGGGGTGATCTCTGCTACTCCTGCAGTTCCAGTGTCTCTGCGTCTCACTCTCATGACTAATGGCTGAGAAGGCAGACATGGTTCCTTAAAAAGCACAGAAGTCCCCTTCCTTTAAGCCCAAGGCACACAGGAATTAAGTAGGGAGAAAAGCAGGCTCTTGGTGGTGAAGCCTGCCCTAATATTTGTAGGATCTGGGGCAAGAGTATAGAAGAAGACCCACATTCTAGATGTCTAAATGTTCATAAATATGCCAGGAAGCAAACAAAATACGTCCTCCTATCTTGGCAAACATAGCTTCGAAGTGATAGGAAAGTCAATTTTAAATTTAGAAGCTTTGGACTGCTAGGCTGTGACATGGAAGTGTGGGGACAATCTGGCCCTGGGACCATCCCTTCCTCTTCCTGCCTCTGACACCACACAATACCATGATGGGCACCACACACATGTGAACACCTGAGCCTGAACATCCAAGGTCTGTCCAAATAGCCACGCTTAGACCTAGGAGTGTGCATACTTGAAGCATGGTCCACCTGAAGAACAGGCCCAAGGGTGAGGCCTACAGAGACCTTGGAAGGGGGCTCAGGGACCATTTAAAAAGAGAATTCTGGGATCTCAGGTACCCAGACAGTGGTTCTTGACAAGGGAGGTGGTACCTTCTTGGCTCTACAGATTTCTCAACCCGTAGAGATGGTTATTGCTGGAGACTCAGAGCAGGGATTCCCTCTCACCTACACTTAAGCCTGGTGTTGTTGGCGGGGGCCAGACCAAACCCTCTGCGTCATCCCAGCCATCATACTGGCCTGAACATTTAGAGAAAACCACCCAGCATGCTTCTAAATACATGATTGCCTGGCTGGCTGTCACCTTCACTCCTTCATCTGTCTTAGATCAGCCCCAAACAGGGTTCTGGGAACCCCTTTTTACTCCTAATCACCCCAAAGCCAAATCTCCAACCCCTTTCCAAATCCCTATATTGCAAGCACATCCTCTCTCCCTTCCTGCGGCCCCTCAATAGTTACAGATGTCGTATTCCAGCTCCCACCTGCATAGTGAGTGAGCGTTTCCTGCTCCAACTTGGGCATTAAGGGAATGACTAGGTAAGCCAGGGTAGGTCCCCTTAATGATAAAACCAAACCTAATTGATGCCCTACGTATCAAAGGCACTAAAAAAAAAGAAAGAAAGAAAAGAAAAAACAAAACTCAAGTTCAGAGCCAAGTGTGAGGATGTGCAGAAAGGTGTGTGTTTTTTCTTGTCATTTGCGACTCTAACGATGGACTCACGTTGCCCGCTCTTCCCTTTCTCTTACACCTTACCTACCTACTAAAGGAGGAGTTCTTGCTTGGTAAGTGGATATAATCCGCAAAGAAATGAGGGAATTTATTAGAAGCCACTCCAGAGCCTTAGCCACCTTCTACAAGGGGAAAAGGACACACACGAATATCCGTAGAGACCTTTTTTTTCGTTTGTTTTCAGACTATTTGACTTCCATTTTTTTTTTTTTTTGTCCTTCCCTCTTTCTTTTCCCCTTTAGTTGAAAACTGCTAACATGTCAGTTTGCGACCTTGACTTTATATTTAAAAGAAAAAAAAAAAACACCCCAAACTCTCATCTTTATTTCGTTTCTTTTCCCCATGCAATATTTGTTTAGGGTTCTATTCAGGCTACTTTTTCTTTAAAAAAAAAAAAAATTGTTCAAGTAATTAAGGATTTGGTTGAAGTTTAAAATTTTGGCTTTATCTCTCTCTCTTTTTTAATTTCCGAGATATATTTTTTTCAGGCCCGTAGCCCCATTTCTTTTTCCCTTTCCCCTTTCTTTATTTTTATTGTTTTAGGTTGAGTTAAGGGGGTTTACACCCCCCTTTCTATTGAGTTGATTCTTTTGTTTAATTCATTAGAAATTAAATTTTGTATAATTTCCCTTTTATTTTGTTTAATCTGGATCGCATGCTTTTTCTCTGCATGATACCTGAATCTTCCAGTTATCCTAGCAGGGGGTAAAAAAAAAAATCTCCTTTCTGTGCTATTCTTTCAGGAATTTGTGCTTTTGTTTTTGGCGTCTCTTCTTTCTTCTCCTCTCTCTCTCTTTCCTTTTGTTACAGTGCATCATGACGGTAAACATTTCTTGGTTATTTAGACACAGCCCCTGGGCCCAGCTCTCAGCAGTGTCCAACGGGTCTTTTTGCTTTCAGATCACTGGGTCGGGGTCTGCTGCTGACCTCTTTACCAAAACAGCCAGCCCACTCACCACCTCCCGAGGACGATCCCAGGAGTATGACTCAGGCAATGACACGTCCTCGCCACCCTCCATGCAAACCAGCTCAGCCAGGTCTCGGGGCCAGGAAAAAGGGAGCCCCAGTGGAGGCCTAAGCAAGAGCCAGGAGCTCAACAGTGGCAACACCTCTGATTCAGGGAACTCCTTCACCACCTCCTCACCCCAGAACAAGGGGGCCAGTCTGGAAAATCTCTCCCCTACCAGCAGGGGTAGAGAATCAAGGTCAGTGCATCAAGTGGGGGTCCAGGAGCTCTCTCCTTAGCTCCACCTTGCGACTCTGTCGTGCCAGCACTCTACTCTGCCTGGAGTCTTTTATTTGCAAGAGAGAGAAAAGTCAACTCAAACTGGCTTACTATTTTCTTTTGTTTTAATCCAGGGGCACTAGCTTCAGGCATAGCTGGATCCAAAGGGCTCAAAAATGTCATTGGGAATTTGTCCTTCCTGTGATATCTCTTAGTCTGCTTCCCTACCCTGTTGGCCTTATTCTCATACAGACACTCCCAAAGCATTGACAGATATGCCAAGCAGCTAACAGATCTACCAGTTTAGCCAGACAACAAAAGAATAATGTTTCTTCTTCAATATATTAGCAAACACCGAGGCAGGTGCTCATTGGTTCTGCTCGGTTCAGCTTAGGTCGTTTGCCTAGCCCTACACCAATCCATGCTGTGCTTTGGGCCAGAATGTGTCACATGCCACTCCTGGGAAGAAATAAGAACCTTCCCCCATGCCCCTGCAGGAAAAACCAGGTTATTGATATCAGGACGAATGGAGGTTGGGAAGGCAAAAATAGCTGTCAATTTTATTAGTAATCGTAGAAGAAAGTCTGCCATTAAATTCATTTTAAGTCACTGTCATTTAAAAACATACCACAGTATTTGTCTAAATAAATTAAAAATGCATATCCACACAAAAACCTGCACATGGATGTTTACAACAGCTCTATGCATAATTGTCCAAACTTGGAAGCAACCAGGATGTCCTTCAGGAGGTGAGTGGATAAATAACACCAGGGTACATTCAGATGATGGTATTATTCAAGGCTACGAAGAAAGGAGCTACCAAGCCATGGAAAGATGGAAAGGAAACTTGCATGCATATTTCTAAGTGAAAGAAGCCAATCTGAAAAGGCTCCATTCTCTAAGATTCCAACCATCTGACATTCTAGAAAATGGGAAACTATGGTGCAAGTAAAAAGATTGGTGGTTGCCAGGGGATGGTGGGAGGGAAGGATGAATAGGAAAGGCACAGAAGATTTTTAGAGCAGAGAAACTACTCCATGTGATACGACAGTGATGGATAATTGCCATTTTACATTCGTCTAAACTCACATACAAAACCAAGCTACAAAGCTCTAATGCAAACTTTACAGACTTGGGCTGAGAGTGATGTGTCTGTGTAGTGTGATCAAATGTAACACATTGACCACTCTGGTGGGGGATGCTGATGGGGGTCGAGGTTGGGCTTTTGCAGAGGCAGAGGTAGGTGGGCACTGCCTGTACTTTCCATTCAATTGTGCTGTGCAACATGAACTGTTCTCAAAATAAAGTTTATTTATATGGATATGTGTATATATACACATACGTGTGTACAGATGTGTATATAACATACATATAGACACACACTCATATTTGTATATATACACATACATAGGTGTATATGGGGGCTAACAATTAAGTTTGTGAACTCATCCTGGAAAAAGTGCTACCTACCTTCTTGTGACCTCTGTGGCACAGTCAAAGGACTCCTCTTGAGAAGCTGTGCCCCAATGCCAGCACCTCGTCCCACCCACCAACGCTATTTTAGAACTCTTTTTCTGACCATCAGAGCTATCATCGTGCAGCACACGAAAACATGCAGCAATAATAATGAACACCACTCAGCAAGACACCGCATGTTGACATGAACACAACTGTGAGACACTGATATACCAAGGTTACCAACCTTGCTGAGTTGTTTGTACAGTGCTGCCAACGTAAGCACACAGTGGCAAGTTTGCAAACTTAATTGTCAGACCTTCTTTCAACAACTGTTCTGATGGTCCTTCCAGAAAAAGAGTTCCAAAATTTGAAGGGCGGACCAAACACTGGTGTCGGAGCACGGCTTCCCAAAGGGAGTACCTCAAAGGTGGCCATAGCGAAATTCATCAGCGAGGTATGCAGCATTTATTCTAGGATGGGTTTGTAAATTTAACTGTCAGACTTGGTACATATGTGCACACACATACAAACACACATACCCCATAGCACAATTTTCGGTAAAGGGAGATTAGACGATTATAGAACACTGAGACGTCTCCATTTTCCCCCCCTCAACACATTTGCTAGATGCCGTTTTCCTGCAGAAAACACTTCCACACAGTTGCTTAGAAGCCAGCTGTAATTCCACTTCATCATCCCCTTACTCTCTTACTCAAAAAGTCACAACAAAATGCTAATCACTAAGAGTACTGTCACAATAATAGCTACTAAAATTTACTGATCACTTCATCTGTACCATTCATTCAGTTATTTATCCTTCAACTGGTTATCAGACACTTCCTATATGCCAGACACTCAGCTTGGTGCTGGGGATATAAAAATGGAACGGTCTTTTCCCCCCAGGAGCTTATAATTGATAGAGCAGATGCACAGATGCAGGAGGGTGGGAAAGCTTTGCTGGTGCACTCCACCAGGCTAACAGTGAGGTTTTCCTTCTTCTGTGGGTGGGAGTCCGCCTTTGTTCAAAGCGGCCAAAATTTTCAACACATGACCAAAGCCTTAGCACTGAAACAGTTAACAGCTTCTTTCAAGGACAGAGCACCCTTTGTCCCTAACACAGTAACCACTTCAGTCCAGGACAAACAGCTTGGCATCCATGCACAGACCTGGCCTCTGGTTTGCCTTCCCCAGGACATCCCTGGCCTCAGCTCACACCCAAGCCTGGCTGGGAGCCAGAGCTGGGGCAGAGCAAATGTCAATGTCTCCAAGAACAGGCAGTGAAGTTCCCAGAAAAGAGAAGGAGGTCACATGTCTACTGCTGTACGGCCATGCTATTATGCAGGGAAAATCAAGAATAGCTATAAAAGCAAAACCAGCAATAATAGTACCAGCAGCTAATGTTCAGTAAGCCCTAACCACAGGCCAGGTGCTTTCCATAAATAATCTTCCCTAGTTCCTCATAAAACCTTTATAGGATAGGTACTATTATAACCCTTTTGTAACTGATAGGGAAACTGAGGCTCAGTGTGGTTGAGAAACTCAGTTAATAAGTGACCATCCCAGGATTCAAATACAGATGTGTCCCCACAAGTGGAAGTAAAGCCTGAGAGACATCTAGCAGTTACCTGCTGAATTTGATCTGCATGGAGGCCAAATTAAATAATTTAAACCAAGCCTTTCATTTTGAAATATAAATGATGGTTAAATCCACAGCTATTTATATTGTGGCAGTTATAAGGAAAGAGCTCAGTAAACATAGACTGAGTAGAAGAGAGACATTAGCTCTAAATCGGGGGAACCATAGGCACTGGGGGTAGGGAACTGGCAAGAGGGCAGGGGTGTGGGCTTGTGGAGCTGGGTGGCTCAGGGCTCAAGAGTCTGGGTGACCTGGAGCAAGTAACTAACCCTCCTGAGTCTTCTCTGTGAATTGGGGATGGTATCGATAATAGTGCCTCTTCATAAGGTCCTTGGGAAGACTAAATGAAATGATGTTTGTAAAGTGCCCAGGACACTGAAGAGGTTCAAAATATTCATCCCACAGATATTTATTGATTACCTAGGATATATGTACAAGCCCTGTACTAGTGCTAGGAAAAAGCACTGGTCTCCAAGGAGCTCAATGTCTGGGGAAGAGACAACCAACAATTAAAAGCCTAAGGGAGCCATATAAAGACCAGGGTCTATGGTACACATTGATGATCACCCAACCCATATTCCAGAGGTGCAGCAATGTCAAGGAAGGCTTTCCAGAAAAGGTGAGGTCAAACTAGAGCCACATCTGTGAGGACGAGTTGCCAGATAAAGAAGGGAGAGCAGAGGGTTGAAGACACCAGAATGTTCTAAACCCTGGAGACAAGGGACAGAATAGGGATGTTCCGGAAGGAACAAGTAGTCTATTATGCCTGGGATCAAAAGAGGAAAGTATCAGGAGCTGAGACTGGAGGGGGGCACGGCGTCAATGATGATGACCCTTGGCCCAATCCAAATGAACCTATGTTCACTGAGAACCTAACTGAGGTCCAGCATGGCCCTGGCTGGGTGATAATACAGAAGACAGGACCCAGTCCTTTGGGTGATTCTGCGCATCTGCACCCTTTTGGGCAAATGGACCTTGGCCCAATCCAAATGAACTTATATTTACTGAGAACCTAACTGAGGTCCAGCATGGCCCTGGCTGGGTGATAATATAGAAGACAGGACCCAGTCTTTTGGGTGATTCTGCACGTCTGACACCTTTGGCTGACACCTTTGGGTGTCAGTTCCTCCACCTGCAAAATGGGATACACCAAGGTTCCCCAAATTTAAACCATCTACATATTATCTTCTTAATTTTTACCATATGCATGTACTACTGGTACTTTCATTTATTTTAATAATCCCTCACACACACACACACGGTGCCAAAAAAGCATACATATTTTAAGAAAGGAAAATTTCTATTAAACTTGTAATACTCAAGTCACATTTGACTTCTGCAATTACAAGAAGTGCTCAATGTGACTTGTATTCATCCTTTGTTATCAGTATATACTGAGTACTACAAGTTAAATACAGTTTTTTTCTTTCTTAAAATGTGTATACATTTTTGGCACCCTCTGTGTAGGAATGTGTGTATATGTATACACACACACACACAAACTTAAAGGAAACAATAATACTATCTGAAATAGAAAATGAGTATCACTTGTCCTATATAGAAGATACCTGTAAAAATGTATGTAATTAAAATAATGTATTTAATTCTAGTTAGTGACAGTGTCCTGCCCAAGGCTCTGAGTCCGAGGTCTTCTCTTCTCTCCAAGGGAGATTGCAAAGTGTAGAGAGGTGTTAAAAACCCACTAGCACCCAACAGGGGCTTTCTCATTAATGCAATCAGAAGGATTAGAGAAGATTAGAAAGGCAGTACATCTTCCACCATGTGATCTGATATTATTTAGCATCCTGTCCATGCCCAGTGGCCTCCCTAATGCTCTGAAGTGGTCCCCTGTGGCTTCTCACACTTGGGGAAATGCTGAACTAGATCATTGACTTTTAAGGTATCACATGTGCCCTGGGATGTCTTTGCAAAGGTAGTAGGATGTGAAAAGGTGCAAAGAGTGTTCTGTGAGAACACTGCAGCCTAGAAAAAGATAGGGAGGTGAGTATTAGCTCAAGATGCCCCCAGAGGAGCACAGTCTGGTGCTAACAGACATTCTCTCTCCTGCAGAGGATTCCAGTCACCATGTCTGGAATGTGAGGAAGTGAAGAAGTCCAGTTTGGTCCCACCCACAGCCCAGAGCTCCCCCATCAAAGGGTGCTCCCGCAGCTCCTCCTATGCCAGCACCCGATCCTCTAGTCACTCTTCCCGATCTCCAAACCCCAGGACCTCCCCCAGGTACACTCGGAGTAGGTCTACCTCCTCTGAAAAAAGGTGAGTGTGATCTTGATTCTGCCATACTTTCTCCCTTAGGAAGTTACCTACCTACGGTAACTGGAGATGTCCTTTGATCCATAAGAGAGGGGAGTCAGATAGACTTAAGTTTCAATATCCATTCTACTTATTACTAGCCAGTGACCTTGGGAAAGTCATTTACCTAGCTGAATCTGTTTCTTCGTCTGCAAAATGAAAACAATAAAATATGTACCCAAAAGGATTGTTCTGAGAAATAAACAGCACATACAGAAGTACTTGGAACAAAATGAATATTAGTTATTATTGTTGCTGTTGGTATGAGAATGAGCTAATGTGGATTAGTTATCTTCCCCTGCATTAAAAAAAGAATCCCGACTAAGGTGTCAGCCACATACACTTGAGCTGGTGGGTTCAAATCCAGCCCCAGCCGCCAAACAACAATGACGGCTGCAACCAAAAATACCCAGGCATTGTGGCAGGAGCCTGTAGTCCCAGCTACATGGGAGGCAGAGGCAGGAGAATTGCTTGAGCCCAGGAGTTGGAGGTTGCTGTGAGCTGTGATGCCACAGCACTCTACCCAGGGTGACAGCTTGAGGCTCTGTCTCAAATTAAAAAAAAAAAAAAAGAATCCCCAAACTTAGCATTCATAAAACAACAAATGCTTACTTAGTTTCTGATTTTGTAAATCAGCAATAGGGCTGGGCTCAGTTGGGTGGTTCTTGTTCTCCATCCAGAGTTTCTACCCAGAGTTTCTAGCTGGACACTTGCCCCAGGGCAGTGAGATTAATTTCTCTGGGCTTTTTCATATGGCTTTGATCAACCAGTGGGTTGCTAGCCTGGGACTTTCTGGTGTGAATGACCCCAGCTGACTGATCTTGACTCCAAGTGATCTCTCATCCTCCAGCAGGCCTCTCTGGACTTGTTCACATGATAATAGCAGGGTTCCCAGGGTTCTGAGAGAGAGAGAGAGAGAGAGAATGCAGTAATGTACAAAACTTCCTGAGTGCTAGGGCTGCAACTGACATGACATCCCTTCTGCTATTCTGTTAGCCATAGCAAGTCACAAGACCAACCCAAGGAGAAGCAAGGACGCTCCTCTTAGTGGGAGGAGCTGCACAGTCACATCCAGAGGAGGTGGACACAGGGAGAATTATGACATTTTTGCATTCTTCCACCCAATTTCAATTATCGCTAATCAACCCGTGGCTTTATGCAGTCCGGCTTCCCACTGCAAACAGAAATTCCCAGCAGCAGTCTGACTATTCCTCCTTTGTAACTATATAACAAAACAACAGTTGCTTTCTTAGTTGGTTATATCAAGACCAGTCCATTCCAAAACAGGAAGCAAGACAGCTGAGAAAAAGATTCAGTATGAGACAGTGACATAAATAGAAGAGCAAAATAAACTAAAAGTAAAATTAAAGAGAGAAATATAAAATTAAGTCAGGAAAAAGACTAAATTCCAAAAGGCAGGTCCTATCATTCATAGTTGCTATGAAGGTGGGTGGCAAATATGACCTCTGAGCTCCCTAGCAGACAAAGTAAAGAAGAAAATTGCTACATTAATTATTACATTATTAACAAAAATAATGAACCAGTTGATTGAAAGAGAAACTATTTCTGATTTTTTAAGTCTATGAAATATAACTCAGATAGCTCCTTTGAAAAGGGACACTATCTAGTATAATGGATGGAAATGCCTGGCAGATTCTTTCAAAGTGTCCAAAAGCATGTTACATCTGGACTCTCTTAAAATATCTCTCAATGCACAGTCAAAGAGCAAGCTGGCAAAAGCAAGTTTTCCAGGGGCTATAGGTGGGCACTTGCCCCAGGGCAGTGAGATTGGAAAAGCTATTCCTCCCCGACAATGTTCTCTAAAAGTGGGAGACATTAACAGAGAGGGAAGGAAGATTGGGTGTAGCACAGGAATTCATAATCTGTATTCACAACAATATCGTCTACAGAAGTCAAGGACACTTTGGAGCCAAACAGACCTGAATTCAAGTTGCTTTTGAGGCAAACACCTGAATTCATATCCTCTACGATACCTGTACTTCTGTTTTCCCATCTGTAATATGGCGCTGATAATAGTACCTAACCCTAAAATATGTTGAGGATTAAATAATGCACACAAAGTATTAATTCACTATCTGGCACATAATAAAATGCGTCATAGTGACAGCTAACACTCCCATGTGCTGGCTAATTGGCACTTAGCATACGTGCCAACATGCTAAATTTGCCCTAATCTACTCATTTAACTTGCAACTGTATAGGGTAAGTTCTATTATTACACGTATTTTACAAATGAGAAAACAGAGTCCCAGAGAAGTGAAATTACCTGCCCAAGGTGGCACAGCTAGTAAGTAAGTGGCCAGGATAGTAAGACCCAGTACGAGGAAGTCGTGGATGTTATTATTAACCACCCTAAAGGAAGGCGATTGCATTCTCTGGTAAGGGCCGAGTTCCCACTTGGCCTCCAGATAGAAAAGGCTCGCTGCCTGGGGACCGGCTGAATAAAGCTGTAGAACTCCCCGGCAACCCAAGAGGAGGACGCTCTGCAGGCTCCTCAGAGGCTGTTACCTCTCCCCAGGTCCTACTCTCGCTCTCCCAGCTATTCCTCCAAGTCTGGCAAAAGGAGTCCGCCCAGCAGAAGCTCCCGCCCGCGCCGCAGCCCCAGCTACTCGCGCTACAGCCCCGGCAGGTACCGGCCCCGCCCCCAGGCCCTGGTCACGCCCCTTTGCTCGGCACCTCCTCTCTGATTCCGAGTCCCTGACCCGTCTCTCGGACCGTCTTTCTCTTTAGTCTCACCCAGCCTCTGCGTTTTTAAAGATTCCCTTAGTTCTTAATCCACTCTCTTAGTCAGGAGTGGCCGCGAGGCACCAGACATACCCTTGTGTCTCAAAGCCCCCAGCCCAAGCACTCCCATAGCCACACTCCAGAACTCACATTCCTGGCCCTCAGCCTTTTTACCCTTCCTTCATCCCGGTATATATAAACTCCCAAATCTTACCCACACACCAGGACCCGGGGACCGCTCACATCCTCGCCCCTGCAGCACCTGCCCTGCACCTGCACTGCTGTGAGGCCTGCCCGCCCAGGCCGATGCCTCTGCACACGCCCAGCGCCACCCGACCCTACCCGTCCCCAGGCTCTTCCCATAGCTCCGTCGTCCTCCCTCGCATCTTCCCTTGCTGGCCCGCGCAGACCCGGTATCCTGTCCTTGAGGGGCGGTAAGGAGAGGGAGCGAGTGCAGCCCCAGGTCCCCAGTAAATACCCCACACCTCTTCAGGGAGCGGGACCCCAAGTACAGTGAGAAGGACTCGCAGCAGCGGGAGCGCGAGCGAGAGCGTCGGAGACGTCGGTCCTACTCGCCCATGAGGAAGCGCCGGAGAGACTCCCCAAGCCACCTGGAGGCGCGGAGGATAACCAGGTGCGGGCAAGAGGGGAAGGGAGACCCTCTTTCAGCCTCTCTCATTCCTACCTGTCCAGGCCACAGGTTCATCCCAGACCGGCTTGGGGTTGGGATTTCAGGATTGTGAGAGTTGGGGGTGAGCTACCCTCCACTCCCAACCTTTGAAATTAAGTTTCTGTTTTAAAGTTTCAGGACCGAGTCGACCTCCCCACCCAGCTTGGGGAATCAGGTGGAGGCCTGGGGTGTGGCCAGAGTCCAGGATGGAGCTGGGGAGACTGTGGGTTCAGGTCGAGGAATGGAACCCAAAGCACAGGGGTGGGGCCTTGGTCTGGCGATGGAGCCTGGGGATTGGGGGCAGACTTTCACTCTCCGATGCCAGACTTAAATAGACCTATAAATGATTATCCCTGAACCAGTGCTGAGAGGGCAAACGGGATTGCTTAGGTGCCAAAAGGAACCTAGAGGGAGCAGTGCTGGGGAAGACGTGAGGTGGAAACGTGGCCTCGGAAAGGCTCTTATCTTTCAGAGCCTCAGTTTTCTCTTCCACGAAATGTTGAAGGTGATAACGCCCACAAGTAGCAGGAGCATGAAATGAAAGGGGGTAAAAAGATGTGAGTGAGCTTTGTGAACTTAAATGCAGAAGCTCATTGTGTGCCATTGTAATTGATTGAATGATTAGACTAGGTGGGTAAAGTTCTCAGTGACAGGTAAGGCCTCAAAAGAAAAATTCTCTAAAAGACAATAGTGACAAGTTTCCAGGCCTTGAAAGCTGGGGGAATGGCTGAGTGCTGCCCTAAGATTGAGTTGGGCTCTCCTCCTGGAGCTCCAAGCATCAGCTACTGGAACAGAGACCCTACTGCCCAGTGCGCCGCCCTGGAGATGACCTACAAGAGGAAAAAGAACATGCGCCCCAGAGGAGGCCTTTTCTGAAACATCCCACAGAGCGCCCTGCCTCAGCTTGTTGGGAATTCCTAAACCCACTGCCTTGACCCAAGATGTCCTTGGTCCCCACTGGGGGAAGGCCAAGATACAGAGTGGCATTTCCAAAAGGTTATCTGGTTTCCTTGGTCAACCTCAAATCCATTTCGGTTAACTCATTCAGTGGTTCCCAAACTTTAGCCATTGACCAGCATCTTTATACCTCTTTGGCCCTGTCTGCTTATTAACTGTACTATTTTTTGCTTAATTTTCTTAAAATAGACCTGCCCTTTTTAGAGGCTCATACATTTATTTCAAAAGGAAACTGGATATAGTACAGAAAATGGAAAATCAGCCTCTTTGCCATAAATAGATAATTCTACTAAAAATAAAAATAGCAAAACAAAACTACGATTAAAGTTTAGAGGTAGATTCTGTTGATAGGTGGAGGCTCTGAGCCCTAGGCTTGATTCATTGGAAAATAAATAAAAATAAAATGATCACTTTCAAGCATATTAGTACTAAGCTGAGATTTTCTCTCTGATGTTCTCAGGACTTCAAGGGAAGTGGAAAAGGAGTATTTGTTCCTAAGGGACCAGGAAATGAAGGATACCGCCTTCCTGGGACAAGCCTGGGGCTCCCCTGGTGGAGGTTGGGTGGAGCCTGGCCCTCATCCGTCTTTCCTCTGCTCTCTGCAGTGCCCGGAAACGCCCCATCCCCTACTACCGGCCCAGTCCTTCTTCCTCCGGCAGCCTCAGCAGCGCCTCCTCGTGGTACAGCAGCAGCAGCAGCCGCTCCGCCAGCCGCAGCTACTCCCGGAGCCGGAGTCCCAGCCGGAGCCGGAGCCGGAGTCGGAGTCGGAGCAGGACCCGCACTAGCAGCAGCTCTAGCTCCCGCAGCCCCAGCCTGGGCTCCCGGAGCCGGAGTCGGAGCCGGAGTCGGAGTCGGAGCCGGAGCCTGAGCCGGAGCTACAGCTCGGCAGACAGCTACTCCAGCACGAGGCGCTAAGCAAGGGCCTTCCCTTGAGCCAGCTGCCCTGTGGGGGTCCCTTTTGCTCTGCCGGCCTTCCCTATCACCTGCCCTTCCTGCCTTCTCCTTACAGATTTTGAGAGCTCCTGGACCCTGTCCTTCCTGCTTTCCTGGGGAAGAGAAAAAGAGTGTACCAGGGATTTCACCTTCTTGGTCAAGCTGCTAGGAGCCTCGCTACCAGCATCATTTGGAGGCTCAACTCAGGACTGGGCATGTGGAGAGAACCATCCTTTGTGGCACAAAAAAAGAAAAAAAAACCTCAAGGTTTTATAATAAGCAATGGGTCCATGACTCAAAAGTTGGGGCCTGGCCAAGAAAATGGATGCATCCATCACAGGAGGCCAGTGGTCATCCCCTCACCTGCCTTCATCCTTTCTTTACCAATCTCATGGCTGCGCATGGATGGACTCCCATGAATGAGGAGGGAGATGAGAGAGAAGACCAAGGGCAGTTCTGGCCCAAGATAAGGGGTCAGGCCTTTAACATCCTCAGACAGGGCCAAGCAAAGGGTAAGACTTTAGCCTTTAGAAGTAGGGACATCCCTGAGTAGGGGGCATGGACATTTGAGATGACGGTAGGTGTCAGGATCTAGGATATGGGGTTCTCTGGTGCAAAGAGTATGGGAGCAAAAAGGAAGGGGTCAGTCTGCTGCTCCCAGGAGCTCAGCATGATCAGGGAAGAGAGGAGCCCAGTTACAGAGAGGCCACTGCACAAAATGCCCTTTGGCTGTTCACAGGAGCCCTGCAACCCCATGAGAAAGGAGACAGTAGACTGGTCAGGACAGTTTGGTCTAGAGCCCTCACTTCCCAAATTTGCCCCTGCCCCACATGCTGGCACCAATTTAATTCCACGGGACCATCTGCTGAGCATTCCCCAGTGCCATGGCCAGCTGCCAGCTGCCAGCGCCAGCCAGTCTGGCCTTACCCTCTGGTTGGCGCCTGCAGGCCCCCTCCCCACCGCCCAGAATGCCACACCTTGGATCCTACCCAGGCAGCCTGGCACCTACCCACCCACCCTGCAGCCTAAACTACTCCCCTTGCCTCTCAGGAATTGTGCCAGGATGGGGCAGGTAGCTCAGGTTTGGGGGAAAACACCCAAATCCAGAGTCCAAGGGAGAGGGGCTTAGATGCCCCATATCTCCAGCTCCTGCTGGGTTCTGAGGTTTCTTATCAGCTTGGGAAAGACCCACCTTCATTTCCTTCCTCGCCCCACCTTCCCCCCTGGCCAGGGCTGGGCAGAGAGCGTAAGTTGATCTCTGAGATACACAAATACCACCAGCTGCTTCATCCACTGAAGGCGCTGAGAACAGGGAGGTGAGGAATACGATCCTTAAAATAAACTCTCAGGCGTCCCTCTCACCAGCTGACTGGCTTTCTGGAGCCTTGTGGGTGAGTTGCAAGTTTGTGGTAGCAACAGCAGCAGGACAGGACATGCAGGGAGAGAGGACAGTTCTCAGATTTTGGATACTTTGGATGGATTATAGGGAAGCAGGGACCAAACACTCTTTATCCCTCCAACCCCAGGGAAAACATTTGGAAAAAGTACTTATTGTTGGGAGCAGTGACCTCAGCCCCACCCAATCTTCCCCATCCAATCAGCCTATGAGGCCAGAGACTGCCATGCAACCATCCAGAAAGCCCTTTCTCCCTCAGAAGAGAGGTGGCCCCAGTCAGCAGTGGACAACCTGGCCTCCCCCCGGGGCCCCTAGCCCCCACCTAAGCCCTGCCCACCAAGACTAATGGATGCCAATGCTGTCACGGCAGAAGGCCAGATGGCAGGTGCCTAGGACAGGGGCCAGTGCCCTGCAACTGTAAATAACCCTCTTTCCCCGCCCAGAAACCCAAACTGGACTCCAATCTCCCTTCCTGGAGACAGAGACTTCCGGAGCCACCAGACTTGTTTGGACTGCCTTCATTCAGACAATTCTAGGGGACCATTTATGCCTGGGGCTCCTAGCAAATCTTTTATTTATTTTATTTATTTATCTATTTATTTATTTATGTGATGACTTTCTCTCTCTCTCCCTCTCTATTTCTCCATTAGCAGTATTTAATTATTTATTTATTTATACAGAGAGGTTGTGTGTGTACGTATGTGTGTGTGTGTGTGTGTGTGTGTTTGGGGTGGGGACTGTTAAATTATTTTTGTGAGTCTCCCTTTTTCCTTTCTCCTCCTGTCACTGTGGATGGGATTTGAAAGGCTGGAAGTGGGTGGGCTATTTGTCTGTTCCCCTGAAGCCAGGAATATCCTTGGGAGTTGGCCCAAGGTTTATTATTCAGTCAAATGTCAAAGAGGTTCAAACCTGTGTCCTCCCCAGCCCCTCTGTCCCCCAGCTACCTCACTGAGGTATCGAAAAGAGGAAAACAGCCTAGAGGCTTGTGAGTGAAGGTGTTGAACGGCCACAGAGGAGTCTCAGTTTATGCAGGGGTTGGAGTCTAACTTGGCATATGGGACCAAAGTTGCACAAAGTCCCAATCCCCACTGAAAGGTTTTACCTTAAGGAGGCACTTGACTGGAGACAGATGTGCTGTCTCTTAGCAGACTATTGACTTCTCCCACTGTTCAGTACTCACCGAAGTCGTTGTCTTGTATTTTGAAGGCCATTGCGGCTGAGGATGATGACTGGTTTCGTATTGGGAATGCACTTGGAGTTGATGAGGAGCTCACACCGTGAGAATAAAGCAGGAATTAAGCTGACTGAGGAAATATGCACACTCCAAGGAACATATTATAGGGCCAGATTACTCACTGAGCACACTTGGTTGGCTTCATGTCAGTTACACGTGCTCCCACTCCACTTCCCCTTAATTTCTCCCCTCCTCCTCAGATTTGAAGGCTGTCCTGTTCCTTTTGAAATGGAGACAAGGTATGAGCCGTCCTGAGTTCGGGAGAGACTCACAAACCCAAAGCAGAAGTCTTTTTCCGTGATCTCTTGCTGTTCCATCAGGGGAGGGCAAAACGCTATTTCTGAAATTAAAAAAATAATAATAACCCGAAGGTAGGAAGAGCCTAATGCCTCTTCCCCCCAAGAAGGGAGGCCTCTTTGCAAACCCATGCTGGGAAGGTCTCCAGGATCCAGAGGCCTTTACCAGTCCTGCCTATCTGACCAACTGGCAGTGTTGTCTGGCTGCTGGCCAAAGAGGGCTTTTACCTTTTCCAAAAGTCACTATCTACTATCCCTTGCAATTGCCAGCTTTGGGTTCGGTGAGACTTTTGCAAAATCTCTGGTCATTTCCCTGGCAATGTGACTACCCTGCCCAACCCAAGCAAGGGGGTAGCCCTATCCTGGGGGAAGTTTACAAGAAGGCTGTTTAAATGCCTCCTGGGGGGAAAAATTCTCTCTCTCTCTCTCTTTCTCTAATTTCCTTTACGCTTCCTTTTTTCCATCCAAAACTGAGGCTATAGTTGAGGCACTGGGAACCTTGATTAACCGGAATTCTCAACTCCTGGTAGTGCTGTGTCTACCTGATTCTCCTCACCATCTGCTTCCAGGGAATAAGACAGATCACCTGAAATCTCCTCACGGTGAGGACTTCACTCAGAAACCAGCATCCAGAGTGGGAGGAAAGGAAAGGAGTGGGCTTGCAGGAAAGCAGCGCGGTTCCCCAGGCACTTTGACCCTCCTGCTGTGGATGTGCCTGGATGAGTGAAACTGGGCCAACTTCCCACCTCTGTGAAGCAAAAGGGTTTTTGAGCTGCAATCCAAAATGCTGAGCTGAGGCCTGGGAGAGTCACCAAAGACAAAGGGAGCTTCACTGAGACTCAGAAGGAAAAGGAAAGGAGACTCAAACATTTTTAGGAGGTTCTCAGTCGTGAGAGTACGAAGAGTAAAAACCAAAAGCAAGATTTGAATTGCTTTAGCTAAAAAAGCTAACTAATTTAGAGCTTCCTTCTAGGGACATTCTGGTTCCTGGAGGTTTGGCCACATTCCTAACCCTATTTCTTCCCTCCTTTCAAGGAGAGTCAGTCTTTCAATTAAGATATTAGAAAGAATGAAGGGGCTCAACCCCAGAGAGCCTTAGCCCTTCATTTGTTCAGACCCAATCTCTTTCCCGAAAGGGTTTGGTTGAAGAGGCCAAACTGGGGTGCTCCCAAAGGCAAGCAAAGCAAATCACTTTCCCTCTCAAGCCCAGCTTCTGTCTTTTCTTCTGCCATGTGCTTTTTACGGCTTCTTTTCCACAAACGTTCGAGGTCATCTCATGTGCATGAACTTTGCCTTGCTTTCCCCCTTTAGCTCAATAGAAAAATGTGTCTTGAAACAAAATCAAAACCGGGATTCCTCAAAATACACCGTTTCCTCCCTTGGCCAGTCGAGTCCTGGTGAGAAACTTATGCCAGATGCAGTGTCATCAGGCAATCTTTTCTGGAAACCTTTTCCTTCTCACTTCTGCAGAAGTGAGCCAGTGATACAGACACAGTTGTCGCCTCCCCTCTTATCTGGGCCTATTAAAGGTTGTGTTTGTTTTGGTTTGGTTTGGGAGGTTTTTCCGTTCTTGTTTGCCTTGTAAATACCATGTTGAGGGACCCTCATCAGAACATGGCTTATTTAATAATTTATTTTCTATTTATTGAGTGGTATTGGAAAAGGAGAGGGACCACCTCTTCCCCTGAATTGTTATTGGAAATTGGTTCATCTTCCAGCCCCGGGTGCTGCTGTCTGCCGCAGGGGCGTTATTGCCCAGGTAATGAGTGCTAGATTCACCGAGCAAATTAGAATTGGTAAAAATGGAGGCTTCACTCACACAAATTAAGCTCAAATGGAACTAAAACACTGGTTATCTTCAGGAAAACCTCATTTAGATGGAAATTAATTGAAGAATAAAATGCTTGTGCATGAACCAACTTCTATTAAAAAGTCACAACTCCTTGGGAATAAAAGAAAAAAAGAAGAGAGAGAGAGAAAGAAATTTTAAACCCCTTTCTCTGGCCGAGAATACATATGCATCATCTTCTAATGAGCTGAGCTAAAGAGACTGGCATGCTGGTGTGGTTCTCTTGCCTGTGTATCTGTCTGAATGAAATCACATGGGTCTCGGGCCTCAGTCTTGTCACCTGTAAAATGAGACTTAGCAGAGTGAAGAAGGGTTGGATTCTGGGCAGAGTGGAGAAGGGTTGGGTGCATGTCCCTTGTCTTCTATTGAACATAGGTCAAAGGGTGTCAAATAAGAAAGAAAACAAAAAGGTGTGTTCTGGACTTCATTTGCAGGGTGAGGTCACAGAAGCTGAGTCCCACAGTCAGACATGGGGGACCTCCAGCTGCTGTCACCTGGCTGATTAAAGCCTTCTGTATTTAGCTCAAATGTCTCTCTAAGCTCAGTGGTCCAGAGTCATCACAAGAGAGACTAAGGTGGCTTTACTCTGCCTTGGATTTAACCTCAGTTTATTGTCAGGCCCCGTTTTGCACAATCAGTCAAAAAACCCACTGACAGGTTACATTGCCACTTTTCAGATGAAAAAAGTGAAGCCCCAGGAGGGGAGCTGGTGTGCCCAAGCTCCCTTAAGCTCAGATCAGCTTGACTCCCTGTCCCATGTTCCCTCAGCAGCTCTTCTCCGGGGGTCTCTGCTATGGGCACTTCTTTCTGCACTGTAACTTTTCTCTCCCAATTCTCAGCTATTTCCTTAAGTGGTAATTGGTTAAGGACCTAGATGAATCCACCACATTGGTCCGGGGGACTTGGTGCACTCTAAGGCCATTTCTCTACACTGGGATCTGGGACTCCCAACTGGAAAATTCCAAACCCGAGGACCGACCACCAGCCCAGCTCAGCCTCACCAGCCAGCCTCTGCGTGGAATACCCACATCAGAGAGACAGAGAGAGAGAAGCCTCTGTGTCCTCTGCCCAGTGACACAGCGGCCATGGCTTGCTTGATTTCTGGTCTTTACAGCTAAGCATAACCTTCCTGGGGTTTTGGGTTTTTCAGCCTGTACGAAACATGTCTCTGTTCTAATTAAAGGTCCCATGATATGATGTTCTCATCTATGGCCCGGTGTCCTCTGTCTACCTGGGGTTCCCAGAAGCAGACAGGCAGGAAGGGGCCAGGGAGCTGGAGAGCATGGAAGCAGCACCTGCCACATACCATAGGTGTACCCACTGCTCAGCTAGTTTCTCTAACCCTGCAAACAAACCTGTAAGTATTTTGGTTACACACACAAAGGTCTGACAAATAATCACACGAACTCATCCTAGAAGAAGTGCAACATATCCCATGGCTGAATATCACCAAGGTCACCTTTGAAGTACGCCCCTTGGGAAGCTATGCACCAATGCCAGTGCCTAGGCCACCCTTCAAAGCCACACTGGAACTCTTTTTCTGGATTGGTCATCAGAGCTGTCATCATATTATGCTTGATGTCCTGAATGTCATCGAAATGTCTTCCTTTCAATAGTTCCTTTATCTTCTGGTAAAGAAAAAAGTCATTGAGAGCCACATCGGGTGAGTAGGGAGGGAGTTCCCATGTATTTATTTGTTTACTTGCTAAAAGCTCCCTCACCGCACTGTGTAAGCCGGTGCACTGTCATGACACAAGGGCCCATTTTTGCACACACCTTTCACAAGCCAAGATTTTCAGTTAATGCTGCTCTGTAGTAATACACTGCATTTCCCTCTAAAAGATTGATGCTACTTTTTAGTGTTCAAGTGTTTTGTCTCAAATATAGACACACATATGTAGATACACACACCCACATTTACATTTACACATGTGTACATTTGAGTTCTAATTTTGGGCCAGCTTCATAGCCACAGGCTAAATAATTAGTAATAAAAATTATTCCCTTCTTAAAAAGAAAAGATTTTCAGTTAAGATTTTCCTGTTTCTCTTTGTCTGCTATGCTTCTTGGCCAATGATTGTGACACACAACTGGATAAACTTTAGCAATGTTTTCAGTCAGTTCTG